AGAAATCAATACAAGAATATACATTTTTGAGTGCCAGTTTATTCATTTTGTTTTTTGAGATGGAGTCTCCCTCTGTTACTCAGCTCACTGCAACCTCCGCCTCCTCGGTTCAAGAGATTCTCCTGCCTCAGCCGCCTAAGTAGCTGGGAATACAGGCACTTGCCACCACGCCCAGCTCATTTTTGTATTTTTAGTAGAGACAGGGTTTCTCCATGTTGGCCAGGATAGTCTCAATCTTTTGATCTTGTGATCTGCCCACCTCGGCCTGAGTGCTATTTTAAAGCATCCAGAATCAGCTGTGTATAATTCTCAGGTGGAAAAGTCAGTGACTTAGAAGCATACTTGGCAAACTGTATTGTGTGCAACAATAAATTGGAGGTCTTGTTGAAATGCAGATCCTTATTCAAGAGATGTAGGCTTGAGCCTATGTTTCAGAATTTTTATTGTGGTTGTTGAGACAGTCTTACCTGTTTCCCATGCTGGAGTAGAGTAGCACAATTTTGGCTCTCTGAAACCTCCGCCTTCAGGGTTCAAGCAGTATTTCTGCTTCAGCTTTTTGAGTAGCTTGGATTAGAGGCATGTGCCTGTAAGAGTTCATGAAGAATAAGAAATTGAGGGTTGTATAGAATTTACAGGTTTATAGCATTATAGCAAGAATGGCAAAAAACAAAATTTTTTCTTTTGAGACAGAGTCAACATTCTGTCACCCAGGATGGGGTGCAGTGGTGCGATCTTGGCTCACTGTAACTTCTGCCTGCCAGGTTTTAGTTCTGCTTCTGCCTCAGCCTTTTGAATAGCTGGGTTTGCAGGTACACGCCACAAAGCCTGGCTAATTTTCTGTATTTTGGGTTTAGCAGAGATATTTGACCATGTTGGCAAGGCTGGTCTCATACTCCAAACTTTAAGTGATCCTGGGCTTTGGAGGCCCAAATTACTGAATTTACAAATGAGAGCCACCATACCTGGTAACAATTTTTCTTGGGCTACACGGAGTATATACTAAATTTTATCCTAGCAATTTTTTATATATTAATGCACAATTCCACAAAATAATTTATGAGAGAAATAATATTTGTCCCCTTTTATGAAAATATTTTGGGCCGGGTGCGGTGGCTCAAGCCTGTAATCCCAGCACTTTGGGAGGCCGAGGCGGGTGGATCACAAGGTCGAGAGATCGAGACCATCCTGGTCAACATGGTGAAACCCCGTCTCTACTAAAAATACAAAAAACATTAGCTGGGCATGGTGGCACGTGCCTGTAATCCCAGCTACTCAGGAGGCTGAGGCAGGAGAATTGCCTGAACCCAGGAAGCGGAAGTTGCGGTGAGCCGAAATCGCGCCATTGCACTCCAGCCTGGGTAACAAGAGCGAAACTCTGTCTCAAAAAAAAAAAAAAAGAATTTCTCGGCCGGGCGCAGTGGCTCATGCTTGTAATCCCAGCACTTTGGGAGGCCGAAGTGGGTGGATCACGAGGTCAAGAGACCGAGACCATCCTGGTCAACATCGTGAAACCCTGTCTCTACTAAAAATACAAAAAATTACCTGTGCATGGTGGCACATGCCTGTAATCCCAGCTACTAAGGAGGCTGAGGCAAGAGAATTGCCTGAACCCAGGAGGCGGAGGTTGCGGTGAGCCGAGATCGCGCCATTGCACTCCAGCGTTTCTCACAAAGAAGTTTGTATCAGCCCACTTTCTGTCTCTCTCCTTGTTTCTGCCTTTACAAATCCACTTGTAACTGCTGCTAATCAAAGTGTAGATTCTAGGTATTTTGCATATTTCTTCTCAAATTTCAATACTTAAGCTTTGCCCAAATAAACTGTGTACTTATATTCATGTCGTGTCAGCTTTTCCTTTTTTCTTTCTTTTTTTTTTTTTTTGAGACCGAGTTTCGCTCTTATTACCCAGGCTGGAGTGTAATGGAGCGGTCTTGGGTCACCGCAACCTCTTCCTGCTGGGCTCAGGCAATTCTCCTGCCTCAGCCTCCTGAGTAGCTGGGATTACAGGCACGTGCCACCATGCCCAGCTAATTTTTTGAATTTTAAGTAGAGACGGGGTTTCACTATGTTGACCAGGATGGTCTCGATCTCTTGACCTTGCGATCCACCCGCGTCAGCCTCCCATAGTGCTGGGATTACAGGCTTGAGCCACTGTGCCCGGCTCTTTTTTTTTTTTTTTAAGATGGGGTTTCACCATGTTGGTCAGGCTGGTCTTGAACTCCCAACCTCAGGCGATCCACCCGCCTTGGCCTCCAAAGTGCTTGGATTACAGGCGTGAGCCACCATGCCCGGCCCAGCTTTTTCTTTATGTAAAATATTACTTAGAATTTTCTTTTCTTTTTTTTTTTTTTTTTTGAGACGGAGTTTTTTGCTTGTTACCCAGGCTGGAGTGCAATGGCGCGATCTCGGCTCACCGCAACCTCCGCCTCCCAGGTTCAGGCAATTCTCCTGCCTCAGCCTCCTGAGTAGCTGGGATTACAGGCACGCGCCACCATGTCCAGCTAATTTTTTTGGATTTTTTAGTAGTGACGGGGTTTCACCATGTTGACCAGGATGGTCTCGGTCTCTTGACCTTGTGATCCACCCGTGTCGGCCTCTCAAAGTGCTACGATTACAGGCTTGAGCCACCGAGCCCGGCCTAGAATTTTCTAGAACAGCCTCTATGAGTAGATCTCTCCTTTGATTGTACTCCACTTGCTCTAACAGCCAAAAATGCAGCTTGATGTCGATTTTATGTAGAAACTGCAAATAAGATCTGGCCTCTGCCTGGAATTTACTGGAAAACAGGGCCGGACTTTAGATGGAGAATGTATAGAAAACCAATAGGAGACATTTTCTGCAATGTGAAATGTCAACATACACATTTGAGATCCCTCCTTAGACAGTGTGGCTCTTTGACCTTTTCTTTCTTTTTTTTTTTTTGAGACGGAGTTTCGCCCTTGTTACCCAGGCTGGAGTGCAATGGCGCGATCTCGGCTCACTGCAACCTCCGCCTCCTGGGCTCAGGCAATTCTCCTGCCTCAGCCTCCTGAGTAGCTGGGATTACAGGCACGTGCCACCATGCCCAGCTAATTTTTTACACTTTTAGTAGAGACGGGGTTTCACCATGTTGACCAGGAAGGTCTCGATCTCTTGACCTCGTGATCCACCCGCCTCGGCCTTCGAAAGTGCTGGGATTACAGGCTTGAGCCACCGCGCCTGGCCTTGACCTTTTCATATCTTGCTGATTCATCTGCTACAGTTATGTGAGAGGCATTACATGATTAAGAAAATGCTCATTGGCCAGGCGCGGTGGCTCAAGCCTGTAATCCCAGCACTTTGGGAGGCCGAGGCGGGTGGATCACGAGGTCGAGAGATCGAGACCATCGCGGTCAACATAGTGAAACCCCGTCTCTACTAAAAATACAAAAAATTAGCTGGGCATGGTGGCACGTGCCTGTAATCCCAGCTACTCGGGAGGCTGAGGCAGGAGAATTGCCTGAACCCAGGAGGCGGAGGTTATGGTGAGCCAAGATCGCACCATTGCACTCCAGCCTGGGTAACAAGAGCGAAACTCTGTCTCAAAAAAAAAAAAAAAGAAAATGCTCATTTAAACAGGGTGGCATTTATTACCCAGAAAGTTCTGAAAAAATTATCAAGAGTTACCTGCTACTAATTAGTGTGCTAAAGATAGACTACTTAAAAATCGCTATTCAAAATTGTAGAACATGGAAGATAAGTGTATCTTGAACTTTCCATAAAACTGATGTTTTCTTTTATACTTTTTTTTTTTTTTTTTTTTTTTTGAGACGGCGTTTCGCTCTTGTTACCCAGGCTGGAGTGCAATGGCGCGATCTCGGCTCACGGCAACCTCCGCCTCCTGGGCTCAGGCAATTCTCCTGCCTCAGCCTCCTAAGTAGCTGGGATTACAGGCATGCACCACCACGCCCAGCTAGTTTTTTGTATTTTTAGTAGAGACGGGGTTTCACCATGTTGACCACGATGGTCTCGATCTTTCGACCTCGTGATCCACCCGCCTCGGCCTCCCAAAGTGCTGGGATTACAGGCTTGAGGCACCGCGCCCGGCCTTTTTTTTTTTCTTGAGACGTAGTTTCGCTCTTGTTACCCAGGCTGGGGTGCAATGGCGCCATCTCGGCTCACTGCAACCTCCGCCTCCTGGGCTCAGGCAATTCTCTTGCCTCAGCCTCCTGAGTAGCTGGGATTACAGGCACGCGCCACCATGCCCAGCTTATTTTTTATATTTTTAGTAGAGACGGGGTTTCACCATGTTGACCAGGATGGTCTCGATCTCTTGACCTCGTGATCCACCCGCCTCGGCCTCCCAAAGTGCTGGGATTACAGGCTTGAGCCACTGTGTCCGGCCTCAAAACTGATGTTTTCTTATGGTTAAATTCAGACTGTAATTTACTTGAGTGGGGCCATTACCTCAGTGGTGATGCTGTGACCTTCTGGGTGTATCAGCACACTATAAAAACTTGTCCTAGTGCAGTTGCTGTTAATAACTCACTTGCTTAATAAGCTGTCTTACACATTTTTTCAGTATATTAAGGTTTTCTTTACATTTATCTTTCTTTGGTAAATGAAAGCTCTCATTTTTGTTTACAGGCCGGAGAAACTGGGGAGGGGGGAGAAAAAAAACACAGGCTATTCCACTTACTGGATGTTTGACAAAATATTCTTTTGGGTCCAAAACATTGACATTACTGGTGAGCTTGTTAAAATTCAGTAACTCAGACTTCATATCAGCTCTTCTGAAAAAAATAATCTGTATTTACAATATGTTCAGTTTATTGTACACATTAAGATTTGAGTAGTACCTTCTAACTTAACATGTCTTTTTTTTGTCTGAAAAATATAAATAACTTTTTCATTTGAAAAATATACACAACCCATTATGTATTATGTAAATATAGCACTCAGATGTACATGTTAGCGTTTATGCCCTCAGATTTATGCTTTGTCATCCAGACAAATATCATATAAACACTAATGTTGTCGATACTATGCCACTCTCTTTTCTCAGAGTTAGTGAATACGTTACAAAATGTTGGTGTGTTGACAATTATTTTATTGGATAATTTCTTTTTTTTTCTTTTTAAGATGGGGTTTCACCATGATGGCCAGGCTGGTCTTGAACTCCTGACCTCAAGTGATCCACCTATCTCAGCCTCCCAAAGTGCTACGATTACAGACGTGAGCCACTGCGCCCGGCTCTATTGGATAATTTCACTCACTCTTCTAAGTCAGAACCAGTTCTATTCACTTTCTCATTTTACCTGAGTCAAATGAAAAATTCTGCTCATAGCCACTTTGTAAATAAGTGTTCGTTTGTGTTTTCCAGGAACCATTGACATTTAGGGATATGGCCATAGAATTCTCTCTGGAGGAGTGGCAATGCCTGGACCCTGCACAGCGGAAATTATATAGGAATGTGATGTTAGAGAACTACAGAAACCTGGCCTCCCTGGGTGAGGATAACTTTAATACAAAATTCCTAATATAAACTAAAGATTTCATTTCTCTTTTGTAGAATGTTCTCTGGTTATTTATGCTTTCCGATTTCTGTTTTAAGAAAATCCTGGAGATTTATCTGTTTAGAAAAGAATTTCTTCAAGATGTTTTATCTTGACCTGCACTTTACACATTCCTCAGCTGATCTGTGTTTTTTACTTTAGTGTTAATTTCAGTAGTTAAGTGGCATAAAATATTATTATTCATACCTTAAAATCTAATTGCCATCACCAATTTTTTATTCAGTAGTACTAGGCATTGAAATTAAGAACCTACGATATTGAAATACTTTGTAAATATTTAAACATTTCTGTTATAAGTTAGTATATTGGGATAAATATATTATAATATTCTTCCTATAATATTATATCCTCTTTACTGAGCACATTACTAAGTTGGTAATTGGAGAATATGAGTAAAATTCATGTTAGTTATTTGTAATAAAACAGGTATTGCTGTCTCTAAGCCATACCTGATAACCTGTATAGAGAAAGCAAAGGAGCCCTGGAAGATGAAGCGACACGCGATGGTGGATGAATCCCCAGGTAGGTGAGAGTGATCACCACAGACGACATGGATGAGAGGTCCAAAGTCAAGGAAAAAGCCAATCTTTAAAGTGATTTGGGAAGCTGTGTTCTAAGGAAAATAATTTCTGGGCAGCCTAAAAGTTTGTTTAAAATTACGCTGACATATAGAGTTATCTTCTGCTTATGCTTATAAAATCTCTAGGAATTCTACTTTCCCTTCAATGACCTTCCTTCAGGTTACAGTGACAGCCAAAGTACTTTTCGTGGCATATAAAAGAGTGTACAATCTGGTGTCTTTTTTCTGTTTTTTTTTTGTGGACTGATAGATATCTGTATAATTTTGAGATGCTCTATGTTTTTTTTTTGGAGATGGAGTTTCGCTCTTGTTACCCAGGCTGGAGTGCAATGGCGCGATCTCGGCTCACCGCAACATCCGCCTCCTGGGTTCAGGCAATTCTCCTGCCTCAGCCTCCAGAGTAGCTGGGATTACAGGCATGCGCCACCATGCCCAGCTAATTTTTTGTATTTTTTTTAGTAGAGACGGGGTTTCACCATGTTGACCAGGATGGTCTCGATCTCTTGACCTCGTGATCCACCCGCCTCGGCCTCCCAAAGTGCTGGGATTACAGGCTTGAGCCACCGCGCCCGGCCAAGATGCTCTATGTTAAACTTTTTTGTTTTTTGTTTTTTGAGACAGATTTTTCACTCTTGTTGCCCAAGCTGGAGTGCAGTGGCGCGATCTTGGGTCACTGTAACCTCCACCTCCCAGGTTCAAGTGATTCTCTTTACACAGCCTTCTGAGTAGCTGGGGTTACAGGCACACATCACCATGTCTGGTTAATTGTTTGTATTTTTAGAGATGGGTTTCTCCATGTTGGTCAGGCTGGTGTCGGACTCCTGACCTCAGGTGATTCACCCACCTTGGCCTCCCAAAGTGCTGGAATTACAGGCATGAGCCACTGCGTCTGGCCTAAACTATTTTTTAAATTCTCTTTTTGCGTCACATCTGAAATGCATGAGAATAGTGGTTTCTGTTCCATTGGCTTGTTTTATTTTTCTTCACATTTCATTCTGTTTTTATTACTATTGTCTTGAAATATAGTTTGAGCTGAGCGTGGTGGCTCATGCCTGTAATCCTAGCACTTTGTGAGACTGAGGTGGGTGGATCACTTGAGATCGGGGTTCGAGACCAGCCTGGTCAACATGATGAAACCCCATCTTTAAAAAAACGAATAAATAGGCCGGGCGCGGTGGCTCAAGCCTGTAATCCCAGCACTTTGGGAGGCCGAGGCGGGTGGATCACGAGGTCGAGAGATCGAGACCATCCTGGTCAACATGGTGAAACCCCGTCTCTACTAAAAATACAAAAAATTAGCTGGGCATGGTGGCGCGTGCCTGTAATCCCAGCTACTCAGGAGGCTGAGGCAGAAGAATTGCCTGAACCCAGGAGGCAGAGGTTGCGGTGAGCCGAGATCGAGCCATTGCACTCCAGCCTGGGTACAAGAGCGAAACTCCGTCTCAAAAAAAAAAAAAAAAAAAAAAAAAAAAAACGAATAAATAAATAACGTTAAAAAAAAAAAAGAGGCCGGGCGCGGTGGCTCAAGCCTGTAATCCCATCACTTTGGGAGGCTGAGGCGGGTGGCTCATGAGGTCCAGAGATCGAGACCAACCTGGTCAACATGGTGAAACCCTGTCTCTACTAAAAATACAAAAAATCAGCTGGGCATGGTGGCACATGCCTGTAGTGCCAGCTACTCAGGAGGCTGAGGCAGGAGAATTGCCTGAACCCGGGAGGCGGAGGTTGCGGTCAGCCGAGATCGCGCCATTGCACTCCAGCCTGGGTAACAAGAGCAAAACTCTGTCTCAAAAAAAAAAAAAAGAAATAGAGTTTGAAATTATAAAGTATGATGTCCTTCTGCATTGTTCTTTTTCCTCAAGATTGCTTTGGCTACTCATAGCTTATTGTAGGTTCATGTACATTTTAGGATTGTATTTTTTACTACTGTAAAAAAAAAAAACCACTGGAACTTTGATAGGGAGTTTATTGAATCCATAGACCAGTTTAGTTAATATGGCAGTTTCACAATACTTATTATTTTGATCAAAATAAAATATTCTAAAATTTATTTGTGTCCTCCTCTCTAATTTTCTTCATTGATACATCTTTCACTTAAAAAATTTATGAGCTCCTTGGTTAAATTTGATCTAAAACTGATTATTACTATTGTAAATAAATTTTTTTTTCTATTTTATCAGATAGTTTAAGTGTGTGGAAGATATCTTATAATTGTATAATTTATATTTTGCTAATTAACTGAGTGTATTCATTAATTTAAACAGGTTTTAATACACTGTTTATAAGATTACATGATCTACAAACAAACATTTTTTACTTTATTGGTCTTCAGTTTAATGACTAAATTTTTCTTCTGATTATTTCACATAATTTCAGTGCTATGTTAAAATAGAATTATTGGCAATAAGAAACAGTAGTTTTGCATTGCTGTCTGTAAATCTGAAGGAATAAATGCCTCTTTCGATTTTTATAAACTAGTACAAAAATATATATTTTTGTTGGGCCTCCAGAGTGATAGAATGCTCTCTGTGTTTGTAGTGAAGAGCGGTTGTAGCTGAGTTTGCACAAGTGCCAACTTTTAGTTGTCTTGTTAAAGGGGGCTTGGATAGTTGTAATTCTTATTTCATTTTTAGATAGAGTGAATATCCTTTAGTACTTTGTTGTACAGGGCAGACCCAAGGGCAGGTTTCTGCAGTCAGGGCTGCATATGGTGGGCTTTATATCAGGATGTGGATGAGCATGGGTTTTAACAAGTACAAGAGAGGATTTTCCCAGGTCACTTTGGGTTTCTACATAGGCAGAACTGGCCATGAACTGTGGCTGAGGGAGCTGGAACTGAATCATGGAACTGCTTCAGGGACCACAGTAAAGGCGAAGGTCTGCAGGCCTGCTGCATGGCTGTAAATAAGGGTCTTTCTCCAGGCCTCTTTCAGGGCAGGACCTCCCCGAGACTGGCTGGAAAGAGTTTGGAATGGTTACCGAGTAAGTTTAAAATTTTCAGTGGAATCGAGTTAGGTGGAACATTTTCTTGTGTGTAGCCAAAAACAGTAGTCCTGTAGTTTACCACCTGAGTGAGGGCCTGCCTTCTAAAGAGGATTACCTTCAATCTTGGTCTTTAGAAGTGTTTCACAACTCCTTCCTGGATCTCAGAGCTCTCTTTTTTTAATTTTTATTTATTGATTTATTTTATCAGACAAATGTTCAATATCCAGAACAATCAGAACTCTCTTAAAGGCACTTATTTCTGCTCCACAGGCAGACAAGCAACCTCATCAAGCAGCTCCCTGACAGCACAGCCAGGTAAATCCACAAAGATGGGAAAAAACCAGCACAAAAAAGATGAAACCATCATCAAAGACCAGAACACCTCTTCTCCTTCAAGGCATCACAACTCCTCAACAGCACAGAATCACAACTTGACCGAGGAGTGCGACGAATTGACAGAAAAAGGCTTCAGAAGGTGGGTAGTGAGAAACATTTCTGAACTAAAGGAACATGTTCTAACTCAAAGGAAAGCAAACAAAAACCTTGAAAAAAAGTTAGACAAAATGCTAATTAGAATAACCAGCATACAGAAGAACTTAGACGACTTGGTGGAGTGGAAAAACACAGCACAAGAACTACGTGAAGTAAACACAAGTTCTAATAGCCAGATCGATAAAGGAGAAGAAAAGATATCAGAGATTGAAGATCAACTCAATGAAATAAAAAGAGAAGGCAAGACAAGAGAAAAAAGAGTGAAAAGAAATGAACAAAGCCTCCGAGTAATATGGGATTATGTGAAAAGACCTAATCTACGCTTGATCGGTATACCTGAATATGACGGCGAGAATGAATCCAAGCTGGAAAACATGTTCCAGGATATTATCCAGGAGAACTTCCCAAGTCTAGCAAGGCAGTCCAAATTTCAAATTCAAGAAATACAGAGAACTCCCCAAAGATATTCCTCAAGAAGAGCAACCCCAAGGCACATAATCGTCAGATTCACCAGGGTTGAAATGAAGGAAAAAATACTAAGGGCAGCCAGAGAGAAAGGCCAGGTCACCCACAGAGGGAAGCCCATCAGATTCACAGCAGATCTCTCTGCAGAAACCCTACAAGCCAGAAGAGAGTGGAGGCCAATATTCAACATCCTTAAAGAAAAGAACTTTCAACCCAGAATCTCATATCCAGCCAAACTAAGCTTTGTAAGTGAAGGAGAAATAAAATCCTTTACGGACAAGGAATTATTGAGAGATTTTGTCACCACCAAACCTGCCCTACAAGAGCTCCTGAGAGAAACACTAAGCATGGAAAGGAACAAGTACCAGTCACTGCAAAAGCAAACCAGTTGGCAAAGACCAAAAATGCAATGAAGAAAATGAGGCAACTAATGGGAAAGAAAACCAGTCAGTAACAAAATGGCAGCATCAAATCACATATAGCAATATTAACATTGAAAGTAAATGGCCTAAATGCTCCAATCAAAAGACACAGACTGGCAAACTGGATAAAAAGTCAGAACCCATCGGTGTGCTGTATTCAGGAAACCCATCTCACATACAAAGACACACATAGACTCACAATAAAGGGATAGAAGAAGATTTACGAAGCAAATGGAGAACAAAAAAAAGCAGGGGTTGTAATCCTAGTCTCTGATAAAATGGACTTCAACAAAGATCAAAAGAGACAAAGAAGGACACTACATTATGGTCAAAGAATCAATCCAACAGGAAGAGTTAAGTACCCTAAATACATACGTCCCCAACACAGGAGCACCCAGATACATGAAGCAAGTTCTTAATGACCTAAAACAAGATTTAGACTCCCACACAATAATAGTGGGAGACTTCAACACTCCACTGTCAATATTAGATAAATCAGCAGAAAATTAACAAGGATATCCAGGACTTGAATGTAGAGCTGGACCAAGTGGACCTAATACACATATATAGAACACTCCACCCCAAATCCACAGAATATACATTTTTCTCAGTACCAAATTGCACATACTCTAAAATTGACCATATCATTGGAAGCAAATCACCCCTCAGCAAACGCCAAAGAACAGAAATCATAACAAACAGTCTATCAGACCACAGCGCAGTCAGAATAGGACTCAGGATCAAGAAACACACACAAACCCGCATAACTACTTGGAAACTGAATAACCTGTTTCTGAGTGTCAACTGGAAACTGTCTCTAAAAAAAAAGAAATACTAGACTTCCACAGAATCAACCCAAACGCCCATAAATGATAGATTGGACAAAGAAAATGTGGTACATGTACACCATGGAATACTACGCAGCCAAAAAAAACAAGTTTGTGTCCTTTGTAGGGACTTGGATGAATCTGGAAACCATCATTCTCAGCGAACTAATAAAAGAACAGAAAGCCAAACACCGTATGTTCTCACTCAGGTGGGTGTTGAACAACGAGAACATGTGGACTCCGGGAGAGGAGCATCACACACTGGGGGTAGTTGAGGGGGGTAGGGAGAGACAGCAGGGGATGGGAAGGGAGGGGAAGATGGGGAGGGATAACATGGGGAGAAATGCCAGATATAGTATGCACCTGAAGTAAATAAATTAATTTTAAAAAATAGCCGGAAATGGTGGTGCCAGCCTGTGATCTCAGCTACTCGGGAGGCTGAGGCAGGAGAATTGCTTGAACCTGGGAGGTGGAGGTTGTAGTGAGCTGAGATCGTGCCACTGCACTCTAGCCTGGGCAATATAGTAAGAGGCTGTCCAAAAAAAAAAAAAAAAAGACACTTATTTTTGAGATGGGGTCTTGCTACGTAACCCAGGCAGGTCTTAGTGTTTTGACCAGAAGCAATTCTCCAACTTTAATGTACCACGTAGCTATTATTACGAATGTGAACCATGATGCCTGGTTCTCTCATAAAGGGATTTTTATCAGGAATTTTTAATTTCTATTTTTAGTAGAGACACGGTTTCCCCATGTTGGTCAAACTGATCTTGAACTCCTGACCTCAGGTGTCTGCCTGCATTGGCATTGCAAAGTGCTGGGATTACAGGCATGAGCCACCTTGCCCAGTTTCTTAGCTCATTTTCAGTGTTCCTTTTATCTTCTCTAAGTGAGTAGCCTTGGAAATAGTCTTATTTTCACCATGTGTTTAATCATGAACATGTATATTCTTTGTGTGAGAAAAACACTTTAATGATTTAAAGGTAATTTTTTTGTTTGTTTGTTTGTTTGTTTTTGAGATGGAGTCCTGCTCTGTCACCCAGGCTGGAGTGCAATGGCGCAATCTCGGTTCACTGCAACCTCCGCCTCCCAGATTCAAGCAATTCTTCTGCCTCAGCCTCCCAAGTATCTGGGACTATAGGCACGTGCCACCACCCCCAGCTAATTTTATATTTTTAGTAGAGACGGGGGTTTCATCGTGTTAGCCAGGATGGTCTCAAACTCATGACCTCATGATCTGCCCACCTCGGCTTCCCAAAGTGTTGGGATTACAGACATGAGCCACCACATCCGGCGATTTAAAGGTAATTTAAAAAAAGATTTATGATTCTGTATTTTGTCAAGTTAAAAAAAATTGTAAAGGTATATATAATTCCCTTCTTAAATCTATTTAAATGTACATGTCAGAAGACATTGGTAGTGGGTCACATCTGTAAAACCAGGATTTTGAGAGGCCAGGACAGGAGGATTGCTTGAATCCAAAAGTTTCAAAACAGCCTGGGGAAAATATGGAGACATCCTCTCTACAAACTTTTTTTTATAAGAAATGGCCAGGCATGGTGATGTGTACCTGTGGTCCCAGCTACTTGAGAGATTGAGGGGCAGGATTATTTGGGCCTGGGAGTGTGAGGCTGAACTGAACCATAATTGTGCCATTGCACTCAAACTTGGGTGACAATTTGAGACCCTGTCTCAAAAAAAAAAACAAAACAACAAAACTGTGTATTTGAGGCATGTCAACTACATTCACCTCATTATGCAAAACACTTCTTGAAATTTTACCTCTTGTAAAACTAAAACTCAGTATGGGTTAAATAACATTTACCCATTTTATTCTGTCTTGAGCTCTTGAGAACCACCATTTCACATTCTGTTTTTATGAGTGTGACTATTTTATATCATATAAGTGAAATGATAACATCCATCATTTTGTTACTGGCTTATTTTACTTGAAATATATTCTCAAAGTGTATCTTTAAATGTCACAAGATTTTTGTTGTTGTTGTTTGTTTTTTTTTCTGTTTGTTTGTTTTGAGATAGAGTTTCGCTCTTGTTACCCAGGCTGGAGTGCAATGGCACGATCTCGGCTCACTGCACCTTCCGCCTCCTGGGTTCAGACTATTCTCCTGCCTCAGCCTCCTGAGTGGCTGGGATTACAGGCCCGCACCACCATGCCCAGCTAATTTTTGTCTTTTTAGTAGAGACGGGGTTTCGCCATGTTGACCAGGATGGTCTCGATCTCTCGACCTCATGATCCACCTGCCTCAGCCTCCCAAAGTGCTGAGATTACAGGAGTGAGCCACCGCTTCCGGCCCCAATTTTTTTTTTTTTTTTAGATGGATTTTTGCTCTTGTTACCCAGGCTGGAGTGCAATGGCATGATCTCGGCTCACCGCAACCTCCACCTCCTGGGTTCAGGCAATGCTCCTGCCTCAGCCTCCTGAGTGGCTGGGACTACAGGCACGCGCCACCATGCCCAGCTAATTTTTTGTATTTTTAGTAGAGACGGGGTTTCACCACGTTGACCAGGATGGTCTCGATCTCTTGACCTCGTGATCCACCCGCCTCGGCCTCCCAAAGTGCTGGGATTACAGGCTTGAGCCACCGCGCCCGGCCTATTCAATTTTTAAAAACAATTTCTGGCCCAGTCAAATGCATTTGCCAAATTAATATTTAATGATTTGGATTCAATTCCAAAATAATTTACATTCAAATTCTTGTTATATGTACTTTTTTTTTTTTTTTTTTTGAGACGGGGTTT